AACGAAGAAGAAAACGAAGAAGAAAACGAAGAAGACGAAGAGGAGGAGAAAAAAGAACACGAACAAGAACAAGAACAGCAGCAGCAGCACCAACAACAACTGTCCCACCCCTCTCTGTCCTGTTATTTAGGCCACCATTACCAACACGAATAATGTAGACATCAACTGCTTGTTGCAGGACCAAAATCATAACACAAAGAAACATCAGTTGCAGTAACATATTAACACATTATATATTATGCACCTGTGTGGACCAGGGGTTGTATCGGTCGTAGTTGAAACGCTTCCACTGCTGTGGACTCGTCCTCCCGGATACGAACTCCAGACGCTCACCACTCGTGCTCGTGATGAGAACAGGCTGTAGTTGGGGTGAAGTGACCACTAGGTACCAGTTGGGCATGGAGTCGGTACGTGCCACTGACCAGTAGCGGACCTGGATATGGGTTAATGATTAGAAAAAAAGTGTAAAATGGTATAGGATAACGCCCCTATCAACACTTTTAGGTTATTTAAAGAGGACGAACCTCCGAGTCCATCTCCATAAGGGAATTTATGAAAAGGCCTTTCCCAAGGCTGGTACCGAGCTCAGGCTCGAACCCCGAACCAGCAATCTCACGATTACGAGTCCCGTAGCCTAACCACTAAACTACCGACGCCAGTTAAGAGGTAAAGTTAAAGGTGATAACACAGAAATAGTAAAATATAACGTGATGTTTAAATAAATTTGTTGTCACTCAGTTTTCAAAAAAAATTATAATACTAAACACTTTCGCTCTTGAATTGGAATTGTTATGCCGGAATTTCAATATTGAATTAGCTATTCACTTAGAATAGAGCACCAGCCAGATATCAATGAAATGCAAGTATCTTAATTTTCTGGGGAACAAAAAAGTCGGCTTTAAGAATTCACGACCCTTTAAGGCTATACCATTTCCTACAAGAACAATTTTAAAAATTAAAAACCGACAAGATTCGGTAAATTGAAACATGCAAATTAAATGGATTTGTCAAGAGTTGAAGTCACTTTAGCCCTCCCAACTTAAAAATAAAACAAAATTCTTTACAAAAATGTAAGCTTGTTTGTGCCCCTACTAAGGGAATACAAGTGGAAATAAAAAGGACATGTCTGCACGTTCAAAGAGTTCGCTTTTCCTCATATTTTTGCTCAAAATCAAATGTATTTTAAATAACTTAGATATATTTATTGTGAATA